GAGACGAAAGAGGATGTTTCCCTCCCTGAGTGTGGCCTTCATAATTCCATTCCATCACACTGACAAAGCTTAATGTCTTTACAGTGAGTTTTGCTCCTTTAAAAATTCTGGAGCAATTTTATTTAGTCTGGAAGAGGACCCAGATGGATAAATTGCTGACTTACTGAATGATCTCTCCTCAGAATTTTTTCCTATCCATAGGCCACAATCAAGCCAGAGTGTTTTTTAACTAGTGAGTCCTGAACAGTGAACATCCAAATAAATAATCCTAGTCCCTAACATTATTAGAGTCAGAAGTCAGCTAATACCTTGACCATTGACTGGCAGGTCCTAGAAGGACAGCCTTCTCTGCCGTTGCCCCCACCCTATGGAATACTCTCCCCCCAGAGGTGAGGCGGGCCCCTACCCTCCCAATTTTCCGGAGGGAATTGAAGACTTGGCTCTGCCAACTTGCGTGGGGCGAGGAACGATACAACCCATCCTGGGTGGTGCCTTGAAGATGCTCCCTGAGTTTACCTCTTGGAAGTATTATATAGGAAGTTTGTTACTGTAGTATATTTGAATTAATTAATTAATTAATATTTATCATTTTAATTGTTTATTCTGTTTTTACTGTAAACCACCCAGAGCCACTCTGCAGTGAGATGGGCGGTGGCAAATTTGAAATATAAATAAATGAATAAATAAATAAATATCTTGATACTTAACTGTTCTCTTTAGCTCAGTTTAGGCTCCTCGTATCTGTTCTACTAGAAGGCAGATTTACTAAGATCACCCATGAGAAACATCTCTGCATTTGGGATTCAGGAATAATCAAAAAATGCATATGTATATGAATTCTATATACTTGCAATAAACTTTCCAGGCATACAGATGAATTTCTCTCACCCTTTTACTTCTGGATAAGCAGCCAGCTATTAACCATCATATAGCTATATTTTGTATGAGAGCATGTAGATTGTGGGAACAGGCATCGGGGACACCACCAACAGCACTCCAGCTCAATCTCAAGCTGCAGGGTATAATCTTATATTGCATTATATGGCACAGCATTATTTGCTATGTACTGTATTGAAGTTTGGGGAGGGGGTTAAGATAATTAAAAAGCAAGCAAAGTATACAGTCAAATGTTGTTTTGCTTAGAAAAAATTAAAATGGAAACAGCGTGGAACAAAAACATATACTTACTCGATAGGACTGTAGTGAGGAAGATATAGTCAGAAAAGGAAATCAAGCCACATTCTCCAAGTGCATAAAAGATGCTGTCTTCATCTGCAAATTTCTCACGTTCCTGGGAGATTCTCTATTTTAAAAGATGACCAATACCACAATCCCAAGAGAAGAAAAATATACTTAATTAATAACAGACCCAATAATTATTGCCATTAGTCACTTTCTAAATCCCTTCTATTACCATCCAGATACCTTTCCAGCCTTTAAATCTGTCAGGTGGGCTTTTCAGGATTAAAACATGAAAATCAAGTTCTCTTCTACCTAAATTTTACATAAATTTCAGTCCTGTGCACACTTATTTGGGACCAAACCCCTTTGAATACAGGGATTTCTAAGTGAGCAAGCTAGGATCTTGCTGTTAACATTTTCAATCCCAGACAAATCAAGATATCCCTGGTTGTTTCCTACTAGCCTAGTACTAGGTATATTAAAGGTTCTATCTTACCATTTTTAATTCACAGTGATCAGAAAGAATTTACTGATGGTTGGTTTGGAGAACCTTTATACTTCTGTGCATAGATATAATACTGCCCATCTCTTAATTTGATTAAGAAATAGGAAGCAGGTTACAGCACTTGAATTTTAGCAGTTTTGCACTCTATGAACACTGCAGGAAACCAGAATTAATATTACCGTGTCTTTTCTAAAACTGTAAACTTAATTAGCTTTGAACATTTGCAGACCATGATTTAAAGAATTTCTCCTAGCTATGATTTCTGGCAAGGCATACATAATGTAAAACTCCTTTTAACACCAGGATGGGGGAAATGATACTCCAGTGCAAATAAAGATAGAAGGCCAAACCTAATCTCAGTATCATAGTTAAGAGGCCACAGTTTATCATCAATACAGTGAAATAAAGGCATTTTATTTATGGTAATTGTAATGCGGACAGACCTTTCTGATTCTCACGGCAATGATTTCTCTTTCCCATTCTATCCATAGAATTAGTATATTTAATTAGTAATCTGGAAGCTATTAAGCCATTTTGCCTTCTGAAGTTTTAAAGGCCAAAGAAAGATGCAAAAATTGGGTTAGAGAGGCTGAGTAATAATTTTAAAGCAGTTAATGTTTTCAGAAGTCTTAGAAGACATATTTTACAATACAAGCACACACACACACACACACAGAGGAAAGAGAAATATTAAAAAGGGTCAAGTGAGTTGTGGTTAATGTATATGGAGACATGCAAGCACAGAAGCACATAAATCAGAAGCACAAATTTAAGAGCGATATTAGGGATCAAAAGACACCATCAACAACACACCAGGGTCCAGTTATACAACTGTTCCCTATCTGTTACCTCTGTCTAGCGAGGATCCCATCATATATGAGATAAAGGAAAGACAATTTGTTAAGCAATGACACTTAAAGCACATTGACATCATCAGTTGCATTTGAAGAGCAAGAAAAAATCAAAGCAATAACTGTCTTAAGGAATGTAGAGAAAGCATTGATTAGAAACTGTGACTGAGATTCAGATGCCTTCTGATGCTACCATCCTATTTCTGTCTGAAGTACCTGAACTGGAGATAAAGCCATAATGAAATAAAGTAATAATACTGAAGGAATGATGATCCTCAAACTCTTTCATGATAATTCTAGCTACATACAACTACCAAAATAACAAGGGAGAACTCATAACAAGAATCAGAAACATTCTTAGTGAAAACATTTTAGGGAGCTGAGAATGCATCTGAGAAGTAGCATTAAGCGCTTTTCCTGCAAAATGATCTTGTATCTTGCCATCAGTATTAAATCATTATATTTATTCTGACAAAATCCAAAAGATCAAGCTAAATAACAATGTAGTACGGCCAACATTTATACATACAGTTGACAATATCTGGGAAAATATTCAGAGTTATCACTCTGTAAGATGATGAAAACTGTGCCTACAATCAGAACTGTGATGTTTATTATAATTTCAGGATTATGGAATCATACTGTTGCTACTCCTATCTCTTGTCATTTTAGTATCTCTTAGCATGCAGCCCTAACTGTAAAGAAAGTCCCACTGAAATGAAATTGATTCCTACTGAAATATGTTAAGATTGCAGGTTTAGAGACGCAGAAATTTAATTAAGATTTTAAACACATTTAAAGGCATTCTGTTTGTAGAACATTAGGCCAAAACAATATTTATCCCTAGTTATTATTTAGAATTTTCTTATGGCATTCTGTATCTTTCTTTACATTAGAGGTAATAACAATAATATAATTCATATTTAAATGTGATCACAATAGAATATACTCATTTGTGTTATGGATCATATCATAATGAATGAGCTTCTGACACCTATTCCTTTATGCAGTTGCGTGAAATACATTAATTCTACAGGCATGTCAGTAATTCAAACACATTCTATTAAAAGCAAGTTTCTCTTTATGTAAGAGTGAGTTTTATGAATCTCAACACCATTTTTCCTCAACTATTGTTCCAGCACAATGCATTATTACTCTTGAATCAAATGCAAGGTATTTAAAAAGCAAACATGCAGGTGTTATATAAACAGTAGTAGTAGTAAATGACATGTAGTTAATGCTAAGTAGATTAGGCTTCTCTTAATGATTATCCATTACCATTAGAATGACTAATAGTCAGTACATTCTGTTCAACCCGCATATTATAAGCCCTTTTTGCACCTGGATTCCAAATTATTCCTACTTGTTGTCAAATTAAATATTTTCTTTTATAAAGTTTCCATTTATACAAATGGAAGCATTACTGCAAAAATGTCATGACTATTACTTAAAAAAAGGCAATTTAACATACTGAAAAGTTTTATATTTCCCAGAATCAGCAGAGTCTGTTCAGTATTGCCTGAAGCTCATTATCACATTAAGTAATTCAATTTAATGCATTAAATTAGAATTTAAAATAATATTCCTAGAATAGCGAAATCTACTTTACTCATATAGGACAAGCATGAAGAAGTAAACATAGTGCAACTGAATAGTATATACCAACATGTAAGAATAACACATATATAATATTGCATATTATATAATAATGCATATATTCTCTTCTATTGTAATGCATATATAGTCAAAGATGTGAACAATTCAATTTCTGTCAGATGGATTTAGACCGGTATTTCCCAAACCTGGCAACTTCCAGGTGTGTGAATTTCAACTCCCAGAATTCTCATCAATGACCATACTGGTTGTAGAATTCTGGGATTCCAAATCCACACATCTGGATATTGGGAAACAGTGATTTAGACCTTCAGCTAAATGAGCAATAAAAAGCAATACTTCTTGAAGAGGCTGCTGTGCATAGTCCAGGCAGGAAAAGAGAACAATTACTCTAAGACAGAACACAAGAAACCTAATTCTCAAAGTGGTGACAAATGTGATTCTGAGTACTTGTTTTCATAACGAATTATTTAAGACAATACTTAAAATGTTAACTTTCCAAGATATTATGGTAATGTAGCATTACAGCCATGGCAAATAAAAAAAGCAGCAAAGGTATATTTTTGAACTGTAATCAAAAAGGCAAAATATGAAGAATGTAACTCATTTTCAAGCAGGAGTCCTTATCCAGATTCTTGCCAATGATGAGGTAGCAAATGCATTGTTAAAACAGCAAAACTCTAAGCGTGGTCTCAAATGCAAGGAACAATAAGATCAGGCTTGCTGACAAGGCTGATGAAGTCAATATTCTAGTTTCTATCATGATCAGAATGAAATCTTTACTAAAAAGGGAAATGACCATCACCCAATGGCTGTACTTTTCTACTTAAATTCTTCTTAAAGAAACAACAAGAACCTAGCCTGGTGTCCTCCAGATGTTTCCAGTACAACTTCCAGAATCCCCAGCATTTGCAGTGCTCACTGTGGCTGATGACACTGAAGTCCAAGACATGGGGAGGACAAAGACCACCTGCTCTTGACATTGGCATGCAATGGCACTCCAGGTTTCAGTATTCATATATTCCAAAAGGAAGCTTATACAGTAACATCTGATTGTTGTAAGGCATAAGGTATGTACTGTATATTATCACAAAGTACATTTATACATATGGCTGCATAAGTGTCCTCTGTATCAACGAAGAAAAGGCCTGAAGATTTTAAAGCTGCAGATAAAGTAGGATTGCCACTTTTAACCTAGCAATTTATGGACAGCTCGGTCATCGCTTTAACAGAGCCAAGCACATAAGTCTCCAAAGGCTTACTGAAAGCAGAGTTATTAGTAATAGGCTTTGAGATATATGAATTATGAAACACCAATTATATATATAAAAAAAGCCAAATCATTATGTATAGCCCTTTATTTACTAGTACCACAATTTCAATTTCAGAAATTGAAATAGCACATTATTAATAATCACAACATTGCCCATTCCAACGTACCCTTAGTCAGTGCGCATTTAACAAGCAGATTTTGCATTTTTATCTGTGTCTCCAGACATTTTTTTTTTTTTGAGCACACATATTTGAACTGGAGGAAATAAATTACATTAATTTAGAAACTATATTATTTTTTAATTCCTGGTTTAGAGAAAATGTGGACACAACTCTGCCCACGCTAGTTGGGATCCAGTCTCTTGAAGAGAGGGAGGGAGGGAGGGAAGAAAGGGGAGGGTCCTTCCTTTCAAGAGGGACCTGGGATCCTATGGAGAGTTTCTATAGAAGAAAAGGATTAACATCTTCTGATTGTCCTGCAATGCTTTGTTCTGCCCCTGAAAAGCTAGTCTAGTTGATCCCTGTTACCTACCACAGCAGTGTGGTAAATGGTACTAGGAGCTAGAAGGAACTAGAGAAAACTGCAACTCCATCTACTTCTTCCAGTTTTGCAAATCTAGTTTGGACTAAATATGAATGCAGATTGCCAATACGAGCACACCAAAACTATAAGCAGATGATCATCTTATTCAGAGTTACTAGCATTATTTTTGAGAACACGGTTAATCCCCCATGTTATATTATTTTTCATATAATAATGTCAAAAACCTAATAAGCAATGCCTGTATACCTCAGGGAACACTAGTACTGGAAAATGACTATAAACTGGCCATTTGTCTTAAATCATGAAGAAAAGCAGTGAATGTTCAGTGACATTTT